CGACTAAATCAAACCCCGCTGCGAACCACACATTACACTTTTAATGTTAAGTAACACATTGCACGGCCATAAATATAGCGTCTTATTATTTATGTATCTTCTATCTATAAAATACTATTGTATATGACGGACAGACAGCACACAAAGTGAACCGGATTTATACATATATTCGTGATTTGGAGAAAATTCTCTGATGAGCGATTTTTCGAAGTAAGGCGCGTGGCAAGTTCATTAATCAAGAAACATTTTTGTAAAGCTACAATTTTTTTCTCCTACCTACGCCGAAAGTTCGGTTTTCGTCCCGCTGTACAGGGAAGGAAGTCTAACTTTTCTCCCTGGGTGCGTTTGAAGTCGTCGTGGCCTAACGGATAAGACGTCCGGTGCATTCGTGTTGAAGCGATGCACCGGTGTTCGAATCTCAGGCGGTTACCAATTTTTCTAATGAAATATGGACTCAACATATGTTCACGATTGACTTCCACGGGGAAGGAATAACATCGTGTAATAAAAATCAAACCCGCAAAATTATAATTTGCGTACTTACTGGTGGTAGGACCTCTTGAGAGTCCGCGCGGGTAGGTCCCACCACCCTGCTTATTTCTGCCATGAAGCAGTAATGCGTTTCAGTTTGAAGGGTGGGGCAGCCATTGTAACTATACTGAGACCTTAGAACTCATATCTCAAGGTGGGTGGCGCATTTACGTTGTAGATGTCTATGGGCTCCTATAACCACTTAACACCAGGTGGGTTGTGAGCTTGCCCACCTCTCTAAGCAATAAAAAAACGTGAAGAAATAAGTTTAATATATTCATTAACAATAACATTTTACTCATTTGAACTCTAAACTCACTAATGTGTAGTAAAGGCTTTTAGTGCGCGCCCTTTTTTATTTTTATTTTATTGCCTTTGTAGTCAGACGAGCGTACGGCCCACCTGATGGTAAGTGGTTACCGTCGCCCATGGACTTCATCAATGCCAAAAGCAGAGCCAAGCCGCTGCCTACCGTTAAGTACTCTCCATAAACCTCGTTTGAAGAAGGATATGTCATAGTGCTCGGGAAACACCGTGGAGGGGAGCTCATTCCAAAGCCGGATGGTACGTGGCAAAAATGATCTCTGGAAGCGCACTATGGATGACCGCAGTGGCTCCAGGTAGTATGGATGAACTCTACTCCGGTGGCGGGCGGTGCGATGGTAAAAACGAGATGTAGGTATCATCTCAAACAATTCCTCAGAGCACTCCCCATGGAACATACGGTACAAAATACAGAGGGAACCGAAGTTCCCTCAAGGAATCAGAAGGCCTCATTAGTCTTGTTGGTATCAGCAGCGAGCTCACAGTGGACTTGCTGTTTAGGGTCGGAGCCTGTAGACAAATACTACTGTTCCGCCTGATCCACTGATCCACGCACTTCGCTTTGTACATGTAATTTTCACGCGTTTCAGTTTTGATTAATGGACTATAATTTCCAAGCGAAGGTAACACCGCTGGGCTCACAGCTTTAAAATTGAGGTTAAAATTCGAACGTGAGTGTAATATTTATGTTTGATTATTACGTTCGTGTTCTCAATAAACAATCAATATTTATGGGCGAAGTTTCGCAAAAAATGACATACAAAATAAATAAAATAATGATACTTGTATTATCCATATAACATTTCGCTTTGCTAAAAAGTTACTGAAGGAGTATCGTGGTATAAATATGGAATGTTATACTAAAAATATCCAGGCGCCCATCGTCTAACATATACCCAAGGAGTCTGGATGTATTACGTAGCCACACCGCGTGTGGACTCTTATCACGTATACATAAACCACTTTCACGCTAAATTAATCTATATACATACTAGCTGACCCGGCAAACATTGTTTTACCATATATAAGATTTCTAGGGAATTAATAGTGTAGAAAAAAAAACTAAGTTATTGTAAGTGTGTAAGGATGTGGTAAATGAGTGAAAGAGGTATGTAGTGCTGTGAACGATGAGGGAATATATAATAAAAATAACAAAACCTAATTCAACCACATAATACCTCATTTAGACAAAAAACAAAGTCCAAATAAAAAAAAATATGTTAGGGGTGGACAACCCTAATCGCTTAGGGGTATGAAAAATAGATAGTAGCCGATTCTCGGGCTTACTGAATATGCATAAAAAATTTCATGAGAATCGGTCAAGCGGTTTCGGAGGAGTATGGGAACGAACATTGTGACACGAGAATTTTATATATTAGATAAATGAATTGCTGTTCGTTAGTCTCCCTAAAACTCGAGAACGGCTGCACCGATTTGGCTAATTTTAGTTTTGAATTATTTGTGGAAGACCAGAGAAGGTTTAAAAGGTAAATAAATACAAAAAGGTTCGGAATTAAATAAAAATAACAATTTTGTTTTCCCTTTGATGTGTCCTCCGTCGGACGGATTCCTTTTGTTTGTTTTAATTTTATTTTATACAAAAGGTCTTTTATTTATCGATTGCGGCACTACGAAGTCTGCCGGGTCAGCTAGTAGTAAATAGAAAAATCTAGAAAAATAAGTAAACGTATTTACTGTTGTATTTTTGAGCGCTTTAGTGTCGCTGTCGTCTATATCTGTCGCAAACCAGTCACAATACCACTAAGGTTTAGGTCTCACTTACAGCGGAAAAGCAGCTATCTTACCCCTCAAAGTAAAACAGGATTGTTGTGCACATAAAATAGGCCAAGTTGTTGGACGGTGATAGAACTTCGACACCCTCACCTCGCGCAATACCACGATCGTTTGAAACCGAAAATAAATGTAAAGTTTAATTCAGACGTACAGATCAAATGTCAGCGACTTATAATAAATTCATCTCGGTATGAATGTGTTTTATTATTGTGTAGAGCCACTTGTGCTTCACGTATGGGAACACAGAATGTACGTTACTAGATACGGCAGTTATTTTATTATTGGTAATGACATTCGTCACTGAAGACCACACGCATTTTAACATGCAGGGAAAATGTAGTACCGTAGACAAACAGAAGCAAGATTTTTATTGTCTTCCCTTAGACGAGCAGTTTTTTTTAAGATTTGCCAGAGTTCGTAGACCACAAATAGAGAAACGTGCTTCTGTCTAGTGTGGCTGTACCGTCTGATTTATGAATAACTCTTCAGACAATTCAGCTATAATTATCTTTGGCATAGAGTAATATTATGTCGCTTCTAGGTTATATGAGTCGTTGTACGGAGATGTGGTTGTGGCCGTGTCGTCGGGTCAAGGATTCTCCGCTCACATGCATCAGGCACAAACCACTATAGTCTCGCACCTTACTTATATACTATTTCAAAAGTTCTCGCTATTGTAATTTTACAGAATCCAAGATGAATATTTTAAATATTTTGATTTGTATATATGCGTATGTTAATTATAATTGATTGGGACGAATTTACACGTGGTGAGTATGCATTTGTTTGTATGTATTTTACGCGTGTCTCTTCATGGCAAATATGTTTTTTATAAAATATTTTCGGTCCGCTAAAATGGAACGCATCGCTGCAAAAATAAATACTAAGTATCCTCGCAATATCACCCAGCGTCAGTTACACAATTGTATAAATTTTGCAGGTTTATTTATATAATAGGATGCTTGCTATTCCTGCTGAATGACGGTCGTCGCTGCATGTTCAAAAATACATTTCATATCATAGGTATGAGTAAGTGAGATTAAGAGCTCGCAGTCTATTTGATGCTAAGTGGTTACGGAACCCAAAGGTTTGCCAATTTGGTAAATTCTTGACTATTACACTTTGTAAATGTGTAATCAATCTTACTATTCTCATATTTAGTACTAATAATATTTTAAGAGTATTATCACGGTGCTAATGGCAGCGATAATTCGACCTCATGTCTCAAAGTAAGCGGTACCATTCTCGTTGTTGTCTCTACATATTTTAATTAAGACAGAGCACTGCAAGCCTCCAGTAGGATCGTTCGCTCGTATTACCTAAAAAACTTAGTTTGAAACGATTTGATTCTATGACTTTTAAATTAGCTCTGTTTCCTCATACTTTCATTACAATAATATCAGCTCTAACATCCAGCATTCAGATTAACCAGTGTGCAGCAGTTTTTGTTTTGTTCCACGTATTGTGGCTGTGCTGTTTTTGACGTGACAACGTCTTATAATTCGATGGAGCCGGCTGCACGAATGAAAAAACATGACTCATGCGGCGTTACCTCGCTCTGAGGCGTATTTTCTTATGACGTTATCACGTCCAACTATCGTCAGTAAACCGACTTTACAGACAACCGATATTTTTCACACAAGTACGGGATGTGAGATTCCAGATGTGGAAAAGCGCAAGAGGAGTACACCATCGTACTGACTAATGTACTGACAATCGTTCTCGTTCCACCACCGCTCTGTGATGATAATATAATATAGATAGATAGATAATCATGCCTGGAATACTTCGCCGGGTCCCAACCCTCAACCGGCTTAGGACAAGCCGTCTTCACCCCAGTTAAATATAGGCTCCCCCTGAACATACTTCACATTACGTTATTATGATTGCGTGGTAATCGTATATTTAAAACTACTGGAAATTCATTAAAAATGTTAAGCTATTTTTTTTCCTTCCTTTCCTTCCTTAGCTGATAGTCTTGAGAGGCTATGTCAGCGTAACCTAAGAAGTAGGTGAGCTCACGGGGCTCAAGCCTGACGACGTTGCTAGCGCTAACCCTAGCAAGGGCAGTGCTTCGCAGAATCTACTATCGGATCGGAAACGCGACCCACTGAGAAGATCCGGCGAGAAACTCTGTGGGCTGTGTCTGTGGGTTAATTTGCTCGTCGAGCCCTTCATCGCAAGTGACGGGTTCGACGAGCATGATGACCGGAGCTTGAGGTATCTAAAACCACCATTAGTGGATCAGGAGGATCCGAAATGACGTGTGTCATTCACGTGTGTGTAAGCTAAGGAAACTTTGTTTACCTTGGTGATTTTTCTGAGGTTTGATACATAACAATAAAAAACTATTTTCGAGTGCATCCTTATTTTATTTTTTTAAGTCTCAGTGGAAGGTATTCATTACATACATTTGTTTATAGAAATAAAAAATAAAAACCATTTAACTAAAGAATATTTACAAAAATCTTTTTTTCTTCGTCTAAATAAATTCTGAGTATAATTCTGTGACTAAAAACCATTACTTGGTGTAAGTACAAACGTTTTTATTGAGCAAAATAGGAATGTATTTTTGAGTATAAGTTCTTAAATATTCATTTAATTTATTGAAACAAAAGAATATACAAAACGTTATTTTTATATAGAAAATAATTCATCTATTCGATTCTGTTTCAACATAAAATTTAAATTCCATTGAAATCTCGAAATGTATTATTATTTACAACATTTTAGAATACTGAATTCCTTTTTACTTCCCAAAATATAAAACTGCAAATGCCCTAGCACCGCTGCAAATAAGGACAACATTACTTTCATTTATATTAGAATAAGACACATTTAGCACCAAACATTTGGTAATTCGAAAGTAATTGAACGTTTTAAAGTTACCAATTTAATATAACCATTTTAATTTAATAATTATATATTACTGAGATACTGTACTGGCACAAAAAACTTCATTAATTTTCCCAGAAAACGAATAAAATTGAAAAATGCCGGATTGTTTTGATTCTATTAAGTACAATATAAATAATACATTATTGTTAAAAACGCTGATACAAATTACATTTTGAATAACAAGTTTCATAACGCAGTCGGATTGTTTAACAATAAGTGAGTGTAATATTTTATTCCCTATCTTGCGATATCTCTCCCTGTTGGCGAAATAACAAGTCTCACAATGCACCCGAACTTAAAAATTTTACTGTCTTCAAACAACACGTCAATCAAACAAATTCTACTAAATTGAATAAGTTATACATAAAAAATTGTTTTAATTTATATAAAAAAAGTGGAATGTTTCGACACCGGGTCGCGATCCGAACAGGACCGCCACTAAAACTTACCTATACCTAATTTAAACTAAACGCGAATAATTTATTATTTACATTTCGTATTTTTGTACAAAAACCTTCAACTAGGCTCATTGAGTACCGATCAACATGTTTCCTTCAAAATTCAACTAAAACTACTTATCTTACGTATTTGGATAGACTCTTTCAATCGATAACAATTCACAATGCGAGAGCAATTGTCTTTTTCTACTTATTTTTAAAATCACATTCCGATTTACTGGCCGTGTTTCGTTCACTGGTTACGCAGTCTATTCGATGTCACACTTTAGTGGTGAGATCTAAAGGGTGTAGTTTGATTCTCTTGATTTGAGAGTACGGCATGTCTTCCTCTTCGCTGGCGGAGGCACCTGCGCTTGCGGACTCGTTATCATCGTTGTCTGGAACTATGATCTCGCTGTCGTCAGACCGCCGTCGGGCTGAACTCGACCGACCATCAGATTTCACTGACAGGTCCATGGGGTTCTCCTGAATTGGTGATTCGGAAGCCCGTCGTTCAGTAGGAGGCGTAGGCACAAATTCAGACTCAGACACGACTTCTTCTTGAGGCGTCGGTTGTGAAGATCTCTGATGTTTCAAAATCTCGTCCAAAAAGAATCTTTTCGAAGACTCAGAGTTGTGGTCGTCGATCCTCACATCATTGTTGTTCTCGGCGGCTTGTCTAAATGCGGCGTGGTCCAGTAAATGTCGCGAGTATATAGGGTGGAGTCCCGGAGGGAACAGCAAAGGATGGTTCGTTGGAAAGGGACTAAATGGTGGCGGAGGTAAGAACGGCGAGTGGTGGAAATGGGGCAAGGAAGCGATATTCGCCAGAGGCAGTTGGAACAGAGACTCCCGGGGCGGAGTAAGTGCTCTGTCGACAGGCCGAGATGTGATGCGTGTTTTCTCATCGGATTTCGGAGAAGACCCGCTTCGGTGTGAGTCTGGGGATCCTGAGCACGGTTTGTTGTAGTCCTCCAGTCCTAACAAGGCTAGTTCTTCTTTCGTGCGCGGTCTCGCCAGACCGGGGAACAGATGTGGGGGGAACGGCGGCGCCAACGGGTGGGGCGACTGCGGTACTCGAGGTGGCGAGTGGGATTGTGCGGCTTGTTGTTGTTCTTGTAGGAGGCAGTGGATCTTGAACCAGTTGGAGCGGCGACCGTACCTGGAGCCGGACTTGGACATGCCCACCATGAGACACTTGCGGAGGCGGCACGCCTTGCACGCCGTCCTGTTCTTCTTGTTGATGACGCACTCGCCGTTGTTCTTGCACTCCGTTATGGAGTTCAGGTTGTTGTACGAACGACCGAAGAATGACTGGAAACGAATAAAAGTGTCATTAGTAACGTTCATGTTTCGAAAAGTAAGTTTACTGGTGGTATGACCTCATCCGCACGGATAGGTACCACCACCCCGCCTATTTCTGCCGTGAAGCAGTAATGCGTTTCGGCTTGAGGGGGGGGGGCAGCCGTTGTAACTATACCGAGATCTTAGAACTTATATCTCAAGGTCGGTGGCGCATTTACGTTGTAGATGTCTATGGGCTTCAGTAACCACTTAACATCAGGTGGCTCACAGCCCACCTTGTCCGCCCATCTAAGAAAAAAAAGAAGTAAAGTAGCATGCCAGTAGGTATTTATTATACGAGTATTCATGAGACGTATTTAATTTGACTTCATGGCGGGAGGCATGATTGACGTTAGTCCTTCTGTAAATGTTTTAGGAACCAAAATCTAAATTATTGAGAGGATTAACAGCCACTTTTCGTGTTGCTGTGAGACTTTTTTTTATTGCCCTTGTAGGCAGACGAGCGTACGGCCCACCTAATGCTGAGTAGTTACCATCGCCCATGGACTTCAGCAATGCCAGGGGCAGAGCCAAGCCGCTGCCTACCGCTTAAAGACTTCTAAATGATTTTGGTTATTATCGAAATTGATCGGATTTTTACTACTTCATAGGGTGTTTTTGATTCAGTTGTTACTATTGATGACTTACTGAAAGTGTACAGTATCTATACTAAAATCACATACGGAATCGTCTCAATTTTAAATCTGATTGTATTTTCATACCACAGTCTAAATATTTTACAGGATGTGGTCTAAATATTCGTAATTTAAATATATTAATAATAATTACATAACAACTTGTTTATTATCAAATAATTTCCTAAACATCGATTTCAATCGCGCAATAAAATTCCAAACCCCATTAAAATCATCGTTAAAACAACACAAAAATCGATATAATATGAACTGTAAAATAATATTGATAATTAACGGTAGTGGCATAGCTAAAATAATCGTTTAATTAAGCGAATACACGGGTAATTAATAAATGATTACTATCTTCAGAACATCTTGGAATCACTAGCCGACGGAATGGTCGGATATTGACATAAATAAAAGTATTTTATATGTTTTATTAACATCATGAAGGGAGCTTTTCGAATTTAGCCACCAAATTTAAAGGAACGATTAATATAACTGAAAAGATTTAATAGAGATTAAATCTTTTCAGTTTTCTGAAAATATTTATTAGAGATTAAATCTTTTCAGTTTTCAGTGATGACAGCATCACAAATAGTACGATACCATGAATTCATGGAATTCAGTTGATCTAATAAAATGGCATTTCAAACGTTCAAACGTAATGGATTTCAAGGCTTTATATTTCATTCTTGACAGAGAACATTTTCCTTACATCAGAACTATAGTATTATAATACACCACAGGAGTGAGATTGCCTTCAGAATTGATGATAAAGTTAGATGAGAAAGAAAGAGATAAGAAATAAAGTGTACATCTATCCAAGTTTTCATGTTTTCCAATCGAAAAAACGAATTGTAATTGGTTTTAGTTATTAAATAGATATCTAAGCAATTATTTTTATTAAAATAACTAACTGACCCGGCAGACTTTGTAGTGCCTTAATCGATAAATAAAAGACCTAAACCTTTGTATAAAATAAACAAACAAAAGGAACCCGTCCGTCGCATTTTCATATTTATCTACCTTTTAAACCTTTTCTGGACTTCCACAAATAATTCAAGACCAAAATTAGCCAAATCGGTCCAGCCGTTCTCGAGTTTTAGCGAGACTAACGAACAGCAATTCATTTTTATATATAAAGATCATGATTGAAATAGTGGATCTAATAATTACAGGTTATAAAAAAATATCTAAATAACAAACGAATTCCTATAATAGTTTAATCAATGAGTGGAGTTCAGTTTCTGTTATTGCCGTATGTTGAATAATGACGTCAATGTTCACATGTTATAGATCAAAACTTCTAAAATAATAAAGGACAGAGCGTTTCTACTCAAATCTCGCAGAATGTTTGAGGGATTATTTCTCAGATGTTATTGAGAGTCATTTGAAGTTATAAATTCGACATCGGTAAAGTACATAATTGCACGAATTGATATTAAGTAGCGTGTTAACGATGTCTTTGAATTTATTACGTTGTGGAATGGTGTGGGCTTCGCATGGCTCATGGCTCGTTGGTATTAAAAATTACAATTTGAATTCAAATCAAGGTCTTGCGAAAACAGAACCGTAGTTAAACGCGTTTACCGGACCGGAACGGGCCCGGCAGGGAAGTGACGTCATGACCGCGAGACGAAACGGTGGAGTTTCGCTTTCAGCGCCACTCGCACCGGCGAGCGTCACCGACGCGTGTAAACGGGCCTTTAACTAACAAGGAATGTTGTTCTGATAGTAAAATGACTTGTGAACTTGCGATAGCCAGTCAAAATGTACAATATCTGAATTTTTTTTATATAAGTATTGTTTTGATTTTGGATTTTATATTTCTGGTTTTTATGTCGTTTTAAAGGTTGTAGATTTGCTTACGGCCGGACCTGTGCAGGCAGTAGTCGCAGCCCAAAGGTCATAAGTCGAAAGTACCGTTGCCCATTATCATTGCAAATCTGAAAGCCGGTTGCTCCTCTGCAAAAATAGCTAAGAAGAATAAACACGCCCTCATACGCGAATTTTATATATTACGATTCGAACCCCCAATGCCACCCGAATTAATCAGAGCCACAAATATATTTTAAATTTTCATTTCATTTAAAACCCACACCAATCTTTAAGACAAGTATAAAATACCAATATATTATTAACCTTTCCTTTAATAACGATGCTATCGCGAAAATCACATGGCACAAATGCCATTAAGGCTTGAGCGCTAAGGGTGAAATTCGTTTGAAAATTAAGCTCACGGTCATGAACAAAAATTCATGTCACGCCCGTTGACAGATGTCATTGTTTTAGTTTAAATTCTTTATCTGTGACGCGATATCGCGCAATCGACCAGTTTGTCATTCCGAGAACGAAGAGGTTTCGCAAAGTCTTTTTTTTGCGGTAACTTGTACCGAGGGCTTAATGCCATTGAGACTTCGACCTCATGTCTCAAGACGGGTGACACTTGCATTGGGATTTTTATGGACTCTCATGACCATTTTGAAACAGACGTTGCGATGAGCTCCTTTGACGAGCTCATAGCCCTCCTGGAGTTAAGTGGTTACTGGAGCCCATAGATATCTACAAGGTAAATGCGCCACTCACTTCAAGATATAAGTTCTAACGTCTCAGTATAGTTATAACGGCTGCCCCACCCTTCAAACCGAAACACATTACTGCTTCACGGTAGAAATAGGCGGGGTGGTGGTACCTACCCGTGCGGGCTCACAAGAGGTCCTACCACCAGTAAATAACCTTATTTCCACTGCAAAAAAAATGCAAGCAGTATGCGGTGACAGGCGCCCACCACATTTGACTGGAATGTTCGAAGTGCCTAGAGATATCCAGCGGGCGAGAGAATTTCATTCACATCGTACGAGGCTTGCAGCTTACAGCAACAGCAGGGAGACGTCCGGTGTCTCAAGTGCTTTTTTATGATTAAGCATCGACTTGTATGATTTGTAAAGTTGTCATAAGCACTGGCTACAGAGGGGTAGCAAGGGTTGATATCAGTGCGATCTCTGTATAGAATAACGAATTCCTTATTTATTTAAAATAATATTAAGTTTATTTAGATTTTAGATTACGAAATCTTCTTCAGTAAACAGATACATTGTATTATAAATGTAAAGTATCCATTGATATTGGCGCATACAAGCACGCCGATGAGTCAGGAAACTGACAAGTAAATGGGGTCGTCGATGAACCGTTTATCGATGCTCCCTTTTAGGATTAGACACGTGAATACAATTCGTAATCTTTAAATGAAAATCGTATCATTATTTTATGTTACGCTGACAATGCTTACGTAATATTCGGGACCGTCCGATCTGCAAGTGAGGAAGAAAGACATCTCAAAAATTATAATTTACAGAATATTTTTTATTTTACTGTATTACTATCATTTTTGGAACGAAGTTCCTTATGGGACGATGCGGAGGGCTACCCTAACCGGGAAAAAACGTCCGTAACGTAAGATTTTTATTATTTATGTATAGTCTTTAGTACCTTTTTTTTTTCCTACCTAATCTGATAGCCTTAGGGGCTATTTCAGCGTAACCGTGGCTAGTAGGTGAGCTCGCGGGGCTCAAACCTGATGACGTTGCTAACACGAACCCTAGCAAGAGCCGTGCTTCGCAGAATCTACCACCGGATCGGAAACGCGACCCACTGAGAAGATCCGGCGAGAAACTCAGTGGGCTGTGTCTGAAAGTTAATTTACTCGTCGAGCCCTTCGTCGCAAGCGACGGGTTCGACGAGAACGGTGACCGGTGCTTGAAGTACCTAAAAGCACCGTTAGTGGATCGGGAGGATCCGAGATGACGTGTTTTGGGCGATTTCGACTGCTTTCCATTCTGTCCGCAGGATCGGGAATGTAGTTACCGGCGGCCACGATGAGAGGGTTCTCGTGTCGTGCCGCTTTATCGAAGTGGCGCATCGACGCCGACTGAAGATACTCTTAGTACCATGGCTATACAGTGTCTAATGTATAGTCTACATGATGACGGCTATTATTATTATTCATATAAATAGCTGTTTCTTTGTATATTATTATTATATATTTTTTATAAATCATTGTGAATAAAATAAAGTTGATAACTCTGTAAAGTAGTTTTTTTTTTATCAATAAAAAAATCACAATAAAAATGTATACCCGAATAATTATTTTCTTTATACCTCGAATAGAACTTAAAATTAATATTTTTATAATAAGGAACTTCGTTCCTATCCGGTGTCCCACGACATCACACATCTTTTTTTATGATTGCAGGATAACTGCTGGCCCGAAGGCGTTTCCAGTTTCACTAGAAAAGGTAGGCGAGCAAAGGCTTAACCAAGAGGGGTGCGATA